TCTCTCTCTCTCTCTCTCTCTCTCTCTCTCTCTCTCTCTCTCTCTCTCTCTCTCTACGTCTTGCGGTCTTCACATATCTCTTTTTATCTTTTTTTTGTGATCGATTATCGAATTTCTGTGCTTTATCATTGATAAGAATGTATATTTTGCATATGTTAAGTGCTCTTCAGCGGATCCCGAGCTCGACGTAAGCGACGTACATCTTTATTTTTGGCTAGAATTGTGCTGGTTTTTTTACGATTGAGATATCTAATTTTAAAAAAATAATAAAAAGAAACAGAGCTATGAGCCTATATCTAATTTTCTAGATAATTGAGTCCATTTTTTTAAATTATTGTTGATATATAAGTACTCATGAATGATTTTAAAACCAGAATAATTTAAAATTTGTGCCTCGTAGTCTTTAGAAAAAATATCTATAAATTGAAGATATTTTCGCAAATAATTGTTTTAGAAACTTATGATTTTACTGTAGTTTAATAAAGAATATTTTTTTTTTTTTTTTTTTTTCTGTAGAATTGTCTGCTACAGATATCTTTTTAGAAAAATTATATAATAAAGTGATAAAGTCACTTTCATAAATTGTAGTTTTTTGCTTTAATCCGCGCGCGTTGGAAATATTTTTCACTATAAATTAATCTAAAAAAACAATAATTGAATACAATTCAAAATTATTTAAATAAATTGTTCTCAAGCAAATACTATCATTTTTTATTAGATACAATTGCAATTTTATATAAAGTGCAGTCATAAGAACAAATTTTTTTAAATGTATATATAATTAAAAATTCATTTTTATAATTTCTCTCACCCGCATGCTTTTGATTAAACAGAACAGTCCTGAACGTCGCACAATTATATCTACAGTGCATCGCACCTCGCGACGTTGCACTTACATCGTCTGGAAAGCCTATGAATCAGCGGTCGAGCTTTCATGTCGTTTCGCGTATAACATCCAGCAAGCACCTCCATACATAAAAATATCGAATTTTAAAGAAACATTTTGCAGGGCGTGTCGGAAAAATAATATCGGAGTGAAAATATCATCAGTTAAGAATGATAATTTTCCTCTTGCAGCGTTAAGTGATGGGCAAAGGTGAGGAGAGAAACGGCACGACGGCACAAGCGGGCGAATCGACATTCCTGGCAAAGAGTTCGAACGAGGCCAGCAAGATGCTGGAGGCCGCGTTGCTCCAGATGGACGACATTATTTCTGGTACAAATGTCATTTGTGCACATATCAATGGATGTATTAGATTTGAATCATATATATTTATGTGGATATATTATCTATATGAATATACATATATGAGAATTCTGCATTTTATGAATACATTTTTAACGTGATATAAAAGAGGAATAGGAAAACAATTACTACTGATTTTGTTTTATATCATTAAAAAGAAATAGAAAAATGTTCAATTTAAGAATCAGGCAAACCCACATAATTTGTGATGTTTGCATGATGTACATGTTTAAACTTGGACGTACATAAAGGAAGCAAGAGGATTCTTACCCCTCCTCTCTAAATTTTGGCAAAAAGAAATTCTGAAAATTATTTTTACGATGAAAAGTCGAATGTTTATCGTCCAATTTGTATCTTACGCCTTACATGCGAGAAAATTTACTGAAGATTCTCGAAGACTGACTTTAATATAAATATTTTAATAAGTTTTGTGTGAAGATAAATTTTTGCTCATTTTTGATTAAAATTCTGGATCAAGGTATAATAAATTTAAATTATAATAAATTAGATTGCAAATTTCATAAGCTTACCTTATCCTAGTATTGAACTTCAAATGACATTCGAATGACATTGCGATCACTCTCTGCGCAATCATTATCTTATAAATACATTTGCAGGTGCTTGTGCCGAGAGTTCGACCGAGAGTAGTTCGGAGTGGAAGAACTCGGTGAAAGAGGCGGCAAGAAATCTTGTGACTGCGATAAAGGGTGCACCGATGCCACCCCCACCGCCCGATGGCGTCACCCAGAACATCCTCTTGGCGTGGATGCAGCCGGTAAGCTAACGAACAGATAGCAATCGCTATCGTCGATTTTATGCCACTCGCACACTCGTCGACGATCGAAGGATGAGCGTCATCTCCTCAGAATTTTGCCCTTCCGCTTTTCAAGATGACACGTTCCGGAAATGGGAACGATTCGTTTCGCGATTAGCTCGGACATCGTTGTGCGAGGAACACGTGTGGTGTCCGCCTCGTGCATCCGGAGCCGTGTTTGCATCCGGTACACGCTGTGCGTCGGTACGCACGTGTTCGCACGCGTGTTCGATCGCCGTGATTTACATCGGTCACGTATGTCCGCGCGTACATCCGGACGTTTGACTCTGTAATCGTTAGACCGTAATCATGGACCTGATGTTGATCGATGGCAGTCGAAATCGGCCATAATTTAAGAATGTATTTTTCATTTTAAATTGCCGTCGTTTTTGTAACTATGAGGCATGTGTTATGAAAATATTCATTTTCGGTGGAATTTCTCTCTTGCCTATAAATGTTAAGTGTACAATTGACAAAAATTTCCATATATTATGTTTTTTTTAATACATGATTAGATTATTACTTTTAACGTTAGAAGTATCGAGCAATTATTATTTGATTTTGTTTTTTAAATTATTAAATTTATTAAAATTTTGTGAATATTTGAAGGATAGAATTCTGAAATTGTTTTTTGATAATTACATATATCTTTATGTTCTGAAAAAATATTTAATTTTTTAATAACTTTTTAATAGTAATTTATTTCCTTTTAACGAGTAACAAGCGTTGGTACTTCTAGTATTAAATTATTAAATTATAACAAAACGAAGATCATTTTTTAAATACATTTTTATAGTTACATTTTTATCACCTTATTCTTTTATGCAGTTTAAATAGCTAATGATAACGAGAACCGCCTAATGGTTGCGATCGTCATAGGTAACGAGAAGAGAGTACATTAATCTATTTATAAATTGCTGTTGCTCCTCTCTCTCCTTCTTTCTCTTTTACGAGCTCCCTCCTGCTCTTCTCGAAGGATTTCATGGCGTTAATTTTAGTTTCGGCGGAGACGATGTCGCGGCTGGTAATGCGAGAGTGCACTTCACCGAGATAACGTTCATTTGTGTACAACCGATATCAGAGTCCTGAATGCACTTTGTATGATGCACGGTATCTGACAACATTGTTATACCAAAGTGTCTATTATAATAGTGATATCGTGAAAGAAAGTAAGTGATTGAAATGTGATTTTTATTGGAAAAAGTATTCTGATGTTAATACATCTTTCACTATGGACCAGGCATAAGATCATAATGTGTTTCATATCGATTGTGAGCACAACTAGAAAGCAAACGCAATAAATCTCAGTGGAATAAAACGTACAGTGTGTAAAAAAAATTATCATGGAGAACACCTGGAGCGATGGTATTATTGAACGGAAGGATCTCACTCCCATAATGGAAGAAGAGGACAAAGGACAAGCGAAAGGTTTCTCTTTAACCCTTTTTTCCATCTCACGTGACGTCACCATACAATATCGGATAATTAAAGCTACAATAGTATCTGATTAAATCTGAACTTTTGATATCGCTCGAATCAAAGATACGTCTCGTAGTAGATCAATTTTATATTTTCAATTGAATGTGAAAGCTACATATTTCTACGGTTTACGACTTTCGCGAAGACAAATCCACGACACTTGAACGGTTCGATTAAAACGGCGCGATATAACTTGGCAGACGTCCGACAGGCGAGTTTGCGGGACTCATCGCGTTTTGGTACTAAAATCGTGTGGCTGGTTAGCTCACTTTGGCTGGCCAGTGCACCGAAGTTATGCTTTTGATGGTGCTCGAATAAATGGCATGCTCGAAATAGATTGCCTTAACCACGGAGCGCGCCGACCGCAGTTGACCGCCGAAGACACATACGTTCATTGACTCATACCTGGAGTACGAGTATAGTACGTGTGATTGATTATTGTTTCAATCTCTGATAAAGTAAACATCCATCGAGGCTACCGTACGAAAAATAGATCGAAGCGCGTTATAATCTTGGAACATTCACGCGATACGCGTCAATGGAAGGAACCTCTTGAACCTTTCATATGCGTGAATTAAAAAAAGCTACGAACGTATATCTAAATTCAGGTTCTCAGTCGGACTCGTCGGACTCGACTATAAAGCGTTGGAACAGTCGATGGACGCCCTCAGAGGGCTACGATTCGTCGGGCACGTCGACCAACTCCGACATAGGTGACGAGTACGTCGAGGATTATTCGCAAGATAGCAGAGTGGACCTATCCGAACCGACAATTGCTTGCCAGACAGCATACCGATCGCAGGAGTGCTTGTGTCAGGTAGACCTAAGATAGAGGAATCGAATTTTTTAAAATTATTTGGATAAGAAATCTCGTATTTACAATCTTGACTATAAATATAAAGAACTCCTACAAATTAACGTCAATTTTTTTATATCTAATAAAAAATGTATACAAAAAATAGTGTTTTATTGAAAAATAATATTTATCTTTATAATAATTTTAATATTTTGTCAATCCTTTGGCTTTTATCGCCGTCTTTTCTAAGAAAAAAATTGAGGATTCTCTGAATTTATATGGTCAAGATCTTATGTTTCAATTAATAAAATGAAAATTGATTATATAAAAAATATAAATGAAATACCTATCTTTCGCCGTGAGATATTTATAATATCGTTGTAGGCTTGCTTACTCGGCTATGCTAAGATGATAGCACTTCAAGGGAGTATGCCTAATATCTGTGCAGTATCCAGTGGTATGGCTAATATCTGCTCGGCGTCGACTGCGCATCTGGGAAGTTTCCCGTCTCTTTGTACAATGCCATGTTCAAGGTCACTATTTGTATAGCCTAGTTTTGTATTGCTGCTTAAGAAATACAAATATCCTTAATAAAAACTCTAAAAAGCTATTGATCCTTGCAAACCGACAGCATTTCTAGCGACCTCGCGCATCACGCCGTTAAGGAACATGCGAGAAGTGTTGCTCATTATCCACACGTTTGTCATCTACAACAAGATCCGATATTCGCGAAGGAGCGAGAAATACACTCAGATAACAGGACGAATAGTACAACATCTCTGCCGGCAAACTCGACGGGAAGATGTGCCGGTTCTTTAGACAGAAGACGACGCAGATTTCGCAGTAGAGTGGACCGCGATCAAAGAGCTATGTCTCATAGTGATCTGATCTGCCATGAGAGGGAGAGACCGCACCGTTATTGTTCATTACAACAATTTCATTGCGGAAGCAATATGTGCCTTAATAATTATCATAGCAAAACCGAGGTATATTGTATAAAAGAACTTTCAATAAAACTTTCGATGTGTGGTATCCTAAATGCGAATTTTTCCTTAATCCTTACTTAATAATATAATATTTATATTTTGTATTTCAAAATAATTTTTTATTAGTAAAATATTAGCGATCGTTTTATTGATTTATTTTTCAGGAACGATTGAGAAAGTTGGAAAGTGAACGTGGAGCATTACATATGGAAGTATCAGTTTTGTCCGAACAGGTCGACGCACAATCGAATAAGATCCAAGAACTGGAAAGCTTACTTCAGGACAAGAAAGATACTTTGAGACAGATGGAAGAAGCGTTACAGAAGGTAAGCTATCTTACGATGTTACATCATCGATTTAGAACTTCATGTGCTTGTTTGTTTTTATAGGAAGTTTTGTCAAGAAGCGCTTTGGAGACGCAGAAATTGGAACTTCTTACCTCCTTGTCCGAAATGAAACTTAGACAGGCTAGTTTGGAGCACGAAAATCTGTCACTACGCAGTACAAGTCCTTTATCGAATGTTAGTATATATTTTAATAGTTTATATATTTTATAATAATAAATTCTATATATTACCATACATAGGAGATACTGTGATAATATTTATTAAACATTTATATATTTTTAAACAAATAAATTGAAAAATTCAAGGACTCTTTATATAACAATAATCAATAACAATAAAAAGAGAGAAGAGGCAAATTAAAATTAAAAATAAAAATAAAAATAATTTTTAATTTTAATTTGCCTCTTCGCCTTTTTTTATTGTTATTGATTAATATATATTTTTATTTACTAAACAGTTTTATGTCTACAGGGAGAAAGATTCAGCAGACATACGGGTCAATATAGTAGTCTTCCCAGGCCACCAACATCCAAGAAAGGCGTTGTATTTGGTAAGGTTCCAAATTTAGTCTCGGGAGCGCATACGACGGTACCCTTGGCTGTTAGGGGAGTCTCTGCGAGATGTCTGTCCGCTCCTATTCTAGGTTTCGATTGATCTTTATCTAAGCATGCGGTGTCAAGTTTAAATATTTTTAACGATGAACATGTTATCTCAATATTAATTGATTCGAGTAACAGCATGTTGCGATTGATTAAAAAAGTAATTTTGCTTGCAAATTACTCATAGCTGATACGCATGCATTCGGACATTATTTAATACATACTTTACGCCTTCATAATTTAAATTAATTTTCATAAACATAGGAAGATTGTGCTTCTTCTTAATTTTAATTTTATAATTTCATCACTTTGTGGAATTTTATGGAGCCAAAATATAGTTTGTTGATTATAATCATATAATGCTTCGATGAGAAAAGTATTTGAAGAATTATGTACGAGTAAAATTGCCACAAAGAATCTCGAATTTAATGCCATATCGTGCGAAGGTTCACTGTACATATAATTATTTTCATATATAATATTTATGGTTGTATATGATTTTATAAACAAACATTATCACTATAGCGGAAGAAGCGAAAATCGTAATTAGTGAAGCGAGCGCGCAAGAGGAATTATCGCCACCGAAACCGCTCGTAGAACTCAGTATGGAGGAGGTCAGTGATTGGTTGGCTCGTCTTGGTCTAGAATGCTATGCCAGTGAATTGAGACGATGGGGTGCCACTGGATCGAAACTCCTCGACGCCACACAGGTTCAACTAGAGAAAGAGCTGGACATAAAGAATGCTCTGCACAGGAAAAAATTACTCTATGCCATCGAATCGGAGCGAAGCAACGACGCTGGATTTCTCGGTTCTCACAAGGTTGATGTTATTAAAACTTTATCGAGTTATCTCTGAAGTATCAGAGAGAATGAAGTATCTTCATTCTCAGATTTCCTTAGATGAGAAAATCTCTGAAAATAAACATCTCTGATATCTTGTAGATGGATAATGCAGCCGTGTTACGATGGTTAGACGATATCGGATTACCGCAGCACAAAGAAGCTTTCCATAATGCCAAGATCGATGGTAGAGTTTTACACAGGTTGACCACAGAAGATCTCTTAAACCTTGGAGTGACTGCACAATTGCATGCCGCCAGTTTAAGACGTGGAATTCAGGTACTCTACAATATGATGATTAATATTGTAAGCTTTTATATTCAGAGCTACATGATATGTCCATTGTCCGTAAAACACAAACTAAAAGAGAAAGAAGAGTAACATCAATGTTATAATTTCCTCTTCAACAATGTAACTGTTATGTACAACATTATATTATATATTTATATTGTTGAGAAATTATAATATTGATGTAATATACATATATTATTGTTAGCTTGTGTTCTGTGACCTTAAATTTGAAATCAATATTTGAAACAAGATGTAAATCGTGTAGGTTTTACGAGATTTAAGTTTCGAGTTTGACAATTTGGAGAGAAGATCCGTGAATGGAAATGGTGCCGATGGTACAAACGTAAATCTCTGGACGAATCATCGTGTGATGGAGTGGCTACGAGTCGTAGATCTTGCAGAATATGCGCCAAACATGCGCGGTTCTGGTGTTCATGGCGGTTTGATAATCCATGAAGGTCGATTTACTTCTGAGCTGCTCGCTGCATTGCTCAGCATTCCACCGGCAAAGACTCTACTTCGTAGACACCTAACGACACATTTCAATCAGATTCTCGGCAGAGAGGTGGTTCAACAAAAACGAGAGATAGAGAGCACGCTTGGATTCGTCCCATTGACGCTTACCGCTAGATTAAAGGTACGTTATATTTTTCGTTATCCCATGCTGAAGAATACGATAAAAAGTTCTTGCAATTTTGTATTTATTTCATACATCTATCTTACCACAATATTAATACTTTTTAGTAGTAAATGATTATTATATTTTATCCAGGTACCAAAGAAATCTCAATTTACACTGAAACGCAAAAAGAGTAAAAACGAGGTAGATTTTGGCAATTTGGTTTGCCCATTGGAGGCGTCGCCACCAGGTACTCCATCAACGCCTTCATCAACACCGGGCAGTCCTAACTTGAACTCACCCACATTCTAACCACAATTTAAAGTTTCATTCGAGTAATCATCTAAACTAACTTGTAAGTCTAACTCGACTAATGATATTAATGATCATTTTATGATTATAAGATTATACTTTCATAAATTATATACATCATATTTTCATTTTTAGAAAAGCCTATTTTTTACTAAATACTTCATTTTAAATATAAACAAAATATAAAGATTATAGATATAAGTATTTAGATAAAGATTATTATATATAAGTATATGAAATGCATTATATACCGAATTGTAAATTAAAATTCTATTAACTTATATCATGTTGTAAATAATTTTCTCTTTTTTCACATCGATATTGCTTTATCATTACCAATTTTCATTCATTTCTTCATTATAATTCATACTTGTTTTTTTTATCAAAAGCTTTTTATAAAAATTTACATACTTAAAAGAAATAATATCTCTTTTAGATTTGGAGGATATTGGACAAAGGAGAATTATAGGTTGCATATGAAGATAAAAGGATATATTTTAATATTAAAACAATGGATATATAATATCCAAACAATTCCTGAGACAACGCGCGAAGACACACCAGAATCATCTGGGACCAGATTATTTGTATCGTAAAGTACATAATCACATCCAAATGTGCATTTTGATAAGTTGCATAAACGAGAGCTAACTCTGACACCGCCAAAGTTTTATTAACGTCGTCAACTAAAAAATTTGATAAAAATTAACAGCTTTATAGACAAATATTTTTACTACGAATATTATTAATGTATAGGTATTATATAGGTATATCATTAATTGAAAATAAATATTAAATTTATACTTATTTTCCATATTTCTTTGTTCACTTTTAGCTCTTGTATAAGAACAATATGTCATCCAATCAATTGTTTGTTATATGTTTTTATTATCTCAGGACAAATGGAATTTATTATTACACGGCACAGCCGTGTCTTGATTGTAAAAGTAATTATAACTTTTTTTTATGTTATAAAAAAATGTTTATATAATTATGTGTTAATATTTTCAATAATTTTGTTAATACATTATTTTCTCTCTCTCTCTCTCTCTCTCTCTCTCTCTCTCTCTCTCTCTCTCTCTCTCTCTCTTTCTCGTTATTAATGTATATAATTAAATATGTATATGTATATATATCTTATTGAGAAGGATTTAATTGTCCACATTATTAAAAAAAAAGTGGTAAATTTAATATAAAAATTTTTAGTATACATATAGAAAAATTACTAGGCACTGGCTGATGTAAGTAGATGTGGACTAACGAATTCTCCTTTTATTTTATACTACTTCTTAAAATGGTATAAAATAATAGAAAAAATTGTTAATAAATAAAATATGCAATATATTAATACAATTCAAAGAAAATATAAATGTACTTTTCTTTAGTTATTATATAAACATAATTCTTTTGCGGCAGACGATAACCAGTGCAAGTTGGTCGTAAATCTACCTTATTGATCATCACATTTGAAGCATTTCCGTCAATTTGCACAAGGTGGAGCTTTCCAACGCGCACGCGTGATGTACAGTTTGATGGATTTGCATTGGCAGGACTGCTACAGTGCTACAATTCTTTTCCTTCGTTATTCCGTTGCAATGGTGAGTGTTTTTAAATTGTGATATCTCCACAATAATCCAGCGATATCGGAGACATCATTGCACGGTTCACAGTTTATTTCTGTTAAACATATAATTGAGGTCATCATGGATAATTTTTTGCATTTGTTACATACGCGAAGAGGATGTTGCGATATATCTTTACTAGACCAAATAATGTTAACCTAAATCTAAACGATCATAATTTTGTAATGAATAACATAATCGAAGGCAGTTTTCGAATCAATCGATAATTTTAATTAGTTATCATTATGTGTTGTTAATCCCTTGTATTACTTATTATATTTATCTAGTCTACACACAAGAAGAAGACCAGGAAGTTACGTGGACACGTGAGCCATGGTCACGGCCGCGTTGGTAAGTTTACCCGGCATACTTGTATGTAGCTATAATCATGTGCGTACAGTAAATAAAATAATATTAGTAATATAATAAATGGTGCTAATAAATAAACATAGCGCAACACAATATATAATAAATAATATGTAAATAACAAGGCTCAATAAATTAAAAAAATAATTAATACAAAACAGGGCTACGAGCCAACATTAGTTAAAATATAAAGGTCTTAGCAGTAAACTGTCATTAATTAGAAATAAATAAATATAAAATTTAATAAAATATAAAAACATACGTTTCGACCTTCATTAGGTCATTTTCAATGTTAAAATCGCAAGATCGTTAACAATGTACAAACTATTGTATTATAAAATTATAAAAGCAAAATAAATATGTATATAAATATAAAAATTTTTTGATATAGATGTTTAATCTCACTCGCATAATTAAGTTCATAATCATATCGTGCACACCAGCAAGAGTCCAACAAGTAAAGCAATCGTCTAATTATATAGTTTTTGGACTACTCCACATTTCTAAATCAAATCGTAAAATACAGTATCAGTAAAAAAATGAATATAATGTAAGAGTCAATTATCAATCAGTAAAAAGAATCAAATCAAATCGTAAAATACAGTATCAGTAAAAAAATGAATATAATGTAAGAGTCAATTATAAATCAGTAAAGAGAGTCAATTCTCAAGGTAATAAATTGAAATGAATATAATGTAAAATTACAACATATTGTACGTACATCATATCTATATTGTTAATTTAGTAACAATTAAATTAAAAAATAATTAATTACCTTGTAATTGTATCGAAATACAATTATAATTAAAATAAGTTAGAAAAATGCGAAGAGAGAGTTATTATAAGATGTTGACAATAAACAATTTAAAATAAGAATAACCGAACATCTCAAGTACAAAGGAAATATATAATGATAAATTTGTGAAATTAAAATTTTCTATTCATAACTTTGAAAAAGAAAATAAATTTTTGTTAATGTAGAATGCTCCTTGCAAAATTTCAACAGGAGTTTTTAGATGCAAATTTCAGCTAAAATTCTTAGATTCAATCAAAGATATTTCATTTTTTGTATATACAAAATACATATAATTATTTTTCTATCATATATCCTGACTTTTGTATTTTAATATCATTTTTTATATAATTGGTTTCTTTCTTTTTACCAAATAGATATATTAAAAATATATGGATTTATATATTTTTTTATTTGTTATCTTTTAGGCAAACATAGAAAGCACCCAGGTGGTCGTGGTAATGCCGGTGGTATGCACCATCACCGAATCAACTTCGACAAATACCATCCTGGTTATTTTGGAAAGGTAAGAACACATTTATACAATGTTATATAACAAAGATAGCTATAGGTCTTTTTAGCTTCTTGCATGATGCATTTTTCTTTTTTTTTCTTTTAATGTTGGAGAAAAATAAAGAGAAAAGATGACGCAAGAAGTTCAGTTAAAACAAACAGATCTTATGTATCAGTTGATGAAACTTCAATTTTCACCGGCGAACTGAATTATATTGATTGTGTTTTTATAATCTGAATTTATAATATTTAAAGTATGTTATTTGAGAATTTATATCAGTTGATTAATTGATATTTCTTTACTTTATAGCTTGGTATGAGGAATTATCATTTACGACGCAACACTAAATGGTGTCCCACTATAAATCTAGACAAATTGTGGACTCTGGTCTCTGAACAGACGAGATTGAAGTACAAAAATGTTGAAGGCAAAGCACCTGTAATCGATCTTGTAAAAGCGGTAAATCTTATTTTTTTAAATTGTAGTATCATATAATATTATGTACACTGGAGCTTTATAATAGCATATGGTTTAGAATTCTGAATGTAATAATGAGGTTATCTCTATTTCACTTCTGAACTATGAAATTCAGAGCCCTATTGGGGCTATATTATCGATTATCAGCTATCCTCACTTACTAACAAGTGTTCTAGTAAATATGGAAGAGATTTTGTGCATTATCATATTTCAAGGTTCACTATTAAAGTTCCAGTGCATTTTATTTTCTTTTAAATATTTATATTTTCTAATATGATGATCTGCAACGGGCGGACTGAAAAGTGCTGTACAACACTTATATTCCTGTAGAATGTTGCATTCTGATTGCTATAAAATATTGTTTTTTAAATTGTATAATAAAGTGCGACAATTTAATCATGTTTGCACTTTTACTTTGACATATAAAATATTTATTAATTAATATTAACTTTTTTTTCAGGGATATTACAAACTCTTAGGAAAAGGACGTCTGCCGAAGCAACCTGTTATCGTAAAGGCTAAATTCTTCAGTAAACAGGCAGAAGACAAGATCAAGGCAGTTGGTGGGGCATGTGTTTTGTGTGCATAATCATCGAGTATGTTAATTTTTCTTTAAACTTTTTCTTCAGTGATATCTTTTTATTATTATTATGATGATTCAGCAACGGGCGGTCTGAAAACTGTATAGCATTTTTAACAAAATATTATACGTTAATGTAGATTGTTGCATTCTGATAGACAATTTTGTGAAATATATATTCCTAAAATTTATGTATATAACTAAAATGCTAATTTATACATTTTATTTTCAGAATATCAATCTCTTGATAAACGTGTATCTTGTGAGTACTCAAACTTTGGAATCTGAGATAGAAGATCAGCATTAATTTACAGAGAATGTATTTCCATGAAATGATAAATAAACATTTTTTTAATCTTAAAATTAAATTTCTCTCGTTCAGCATGAAAAAGATTTATATAAATATATCCCGCCAGATTTTTTATGCTATGTGAGGTGGTGGTGGAGGTATTTGCATTCCAGGTGCCAAAAGAGTTGGCGGTGGTGGTACTGGGTTGAACATCGGTCTGGGCGGAGGTGGTGGAACAGGCACCATTGGGCCCAATCCTGGTCTTATCAGAGGAACTGGCGGTGGCGGTACTTTGCCCACAGACGGTTTCTCGTTTTTAAATGCAAATTGCAAGAAAAATTGCTTTGTGTCCTTATTCCAGTGAGTCCAAAACTTTCCCTCTGCCTTTTCTACTTCCCTGCTGGGAACCTGTAAGATTATAACCAATAAGAATAAAGAAAAGCTTTTCCACTATTTTTAAATATCACTTATGTTAAACAAAAGAAGTTCTTGTTTTAATTATTTGGACACATTCAATAAAATGAATGACCTAGTATTCAAATAAAGAAGGAAGATGTGAGAACATAGTAATAGGCATATAAATAAGCGAAAAGAACTGCATTCGAAGTAGGATTTGATGTCTAATATTTTTGCATGAATTTTACAATCAGTTTATACAAATTGCATGTTGATTATCTGCTGGTTTTAAAATATGGAAAATTAATTGAATATGTTCAGATTCATTCGTCCCATTTTTGAAAAATACGCTACTCAAAAAAATTAAAGTATCACTTGGTCCACCTTGCAAAAATAAGCAAATTTCGAGATAGAATAATTTCATCAAAAATCATTGTAACAAGATGCTTAAAAAAGCATTTTAAAGCTTGAAATCTCTATAGATCGATACTTCAAAAAAACGGTCTTACTGATATTTTGTGACCTTTTTGCTTCAATGTTGAATAAACGTTGGATAAAAAAAAATCATACAGAGGTCGATAAAAAAGCAAATTAAAGATAAAAATTCATTCTTTCGAAAGCTGTAAACCGCATTTGTGCAAAATTTTTAGTTTGTGCAGTGGAATTTCTCAAACTTTGTAAAAATTTTTAGATTTAATGCACTTTTATTTATGTTCGTGTAACTTCACAAAATATCAGTAAGATTATGTTTTGAAGTACCAATCTGAAAGTAGATTTCAAGCTTTAAAATGCTTTTTTTAAAATCTTGATACAATAATTTTTGACGAAGTTATTCTATCTCAAAATTTGCCTATTTTTGCAGGGTGGAACAAGTGATCCTTTAATTTTTTTAGTATATTTAAATGATTAAATAAAATTTTCTATTTGTTTTAACTCAAATGATATTTAAAAGTAATATTACAAATGAAAGTATTAATATTATAAAATTGACAAGTAATTTAATATACTGATGTTAATAAACATATTAAGAAATAATCATACTTTGAAGGCGATAGTCTCATATGGTTCAGCTGCAAACAGTAGATACTGCCACTTACGATCCGGTGGCTCAACCCTTTGCTCATAGGCGGACATGAACCTGTGCCGTGGTATCACATTGTCCGCTACTTCAGGATAATCCACTTGAAACAGCAGACTCTGTTGGCCAGACTCTGGATCACGCTGCTTGGTGACTCGGTAACCAGGTCGACCGATCTTTACAAACTTTTTTGGCTCAACCCGGGGCTTCTCTGGTGCAAGAGTCTGTGGTGCTTCCTTGGCTTCTTTCGCAGCTCTCCTGGCTAAATTGGCTTGATGTTTTTTACCCTGAGTGTGCGCCAGATAACTGCCCTCATTGTTGTGTAAAGTGAGACACAGCTTGCACTCGTACGAGCCCAAGTGATTTTTCATAAAATATGGATCCTTGTTTAGATCAATAGTCTCCAGGGCGAGCTGACGGAGACGCTCCCGGCGGTCGCGATTGCTCTCTGACCAGGAGGCGACGCCGCCGCCGCCAGTTTTGCCACCCGGACGATTCTGGAAATCCATTGTTGCTCTCCGAAAGTAGGCCGCGTCGATGGAAGGATGAAAATCAAATACTCGTCAATGTACTCGTCAACGTTATCGTAAGTATACCAATAACCTCACTTGGATTTTGGATATATTTGCTTATGTAGAGTTTAATATAACCTATAACGGATAACCGTGTTTCATGATGTTACCAGATAGATGTCCTGCTATTTGATTATTGGGTAGAGTACCTATAATTAGTGACCCTCTAATAAGAGTCTGGCCACCTTCTCCCCGGTTTGTGATTGGTCCGACATTTATCATCCATTCCCGCAAATTTCTTTAAATTTATAAATTGTAAAAATTAATAAATTCGTAAAAATTAAAGTAGAATCAATTACAATTTTTATTTTTATTATTATTTAACTTATATTAACATTATTAAATATTTTCTATAAAAACTTTTATGTAAAAAAAACGTTGCAATATGTCTTTCATAAAATAAAAACAACAATTAAGTAAGTATTATAAATATATTGAAAATATAAAAATTAATATATTAAGAATATATAAAATTTATAAAAATATTACAAGATTAAGAAACTTTAATAAAAATTAAATTTAAATACAAATAATACAATTAATGCTTTAAAATTCTTAACAAAAAATACTTAGGTAGCACCAATAGGGAATAAATAAAGTAGTATATTTAT